AAAAAAAAAAAAAAAAGGAATTAAGATGTGTTTTTTATGTGTTTCAACGCCACACGAGGAATGTAAACATTACATATTGTAAACATGTACCAAAAGAAGATGAAAATCAAGAGATGGATGGGCAGGAAGAGTAAGGGGATGAAAAACAGGAATTAAGACGTGTTATGAACATCTATCAACACCCCACAAGGAATGCAGTTATACACTATGTACTACAATCATGTACTAATAAAATTTTAAAAACCATAAACTTTGAACTTTTACTTTTCATTCTCTTGTCTTTTAAAACGATCACACTTACGTACTTCTACATATCTATGCCTTTGCATGTATGTGTAAAATGCATATTTTAGGTATTTTACTAATTCTGCTTCTTAAATTTCTTTGTAACTTATCTATTTAGTTATACAAACTGTTTCATTTTATTTGCATTCATAGAGTATTTCCCTACATGAATATATGAAAACTATCATTTAAGCCACACACAAATGGGTAACAAGTTGAGGATTTTCCCCAGTCTTATTTTGATAGATAAACAACTATGCTTGAAACACCCACTAGCATATATTACTTGCTTGTGTACAGTAATCTTTATGTCTATTAATGGAAGTTTTGAACAGTGAGATACTTTTACCTTGTTTATAATACCCAATAATTTGATATAGCTGGAAAGACCATTTTTCACCTTTGTGCAATAATAATACAAAATATTTTTGTTTTGTTGTTTTAGTTCTTTTGTTATATACTTTTTAAAAAGATTATTCTATGATATATTTGGTAGTGAAATCTGTTGTTAAAATTTATAAGTGACCTGAAAATTTATCTTTTTAAACTTCCAAATTAATCAGCTATTAACTTACCGATTTGACTCTCTTTTGCCCGGTATCTGCAGCTAGCACACAAAAGAAAAAATTAAAAATAAGAAGAAAAGGAATAAAAGCATATGTATGTTGGGGTGTACTCAGATTTCTTAGTAGCAGAAACCTACAGAAATTGCTGACTCATGACCTTTCACGTAAGGAAGTGAATTTTACGGAAATACTAAGACAATGTATTCATGGGCTGACTTCAAATCTGGAAATATTTTATAATTCCTCAAGCTCATATCACTTTTGAAAATAATTTTAACTATTCTCTATTAAACTCATTTTATTATCCTTTGATGAAACTATACTTTTTATTTAGATATATGGAACAGAGAAAACACCTTTTACAGCCACTTAATTTGCCTTGAATAAAATGACAAAATAGCAAGAAATTAAGCTCAAATATCTTTTTTTTTTTTTTTTTTTTTTTTTTTTTTTTTTTTTGTACTGGGGATCAAACTCAGGACCTTGTACTTGTCAGGCAGATGCGACACTACTGAGCTACATCCCCTGCCTAAGCTCTAATATCTTGATTTTGTACAATATCTCATTGTTAGTTTATTTTGAAATTGATGAACCACCCTGAAAATTATGAAAGATAATTTGTCAGCGGATGAATGGCTGAATTCTCTCCTTACATAAGGCTTTGACACAGATGATTCATAGCTGGCAAAACAAATGAGATTGTCAAAGAATATCATCTCTGGAGCACTTCACTTACTCCCCCACTTTGCTTTTAATAACCATAAAATCTGATCTCCAAAATGAAGGGTAAGGAGAAACATAAATGTCTCTAGTCAAAGATGAACAAAACTATAATGTCTACTAACCAATCTATTATTATTATTATTACTATTACTATTCTAAGAGAGAGAATATCACTATTTATCTGAGTTTGATCTTGATCTTCTAGGCTTATAAAATCTTCCTGTGTGAGCCTCCCATGTAGCTGATGCTATAGGTGCAAACCTCTGTAACCAACTTCTATTGCCCATTCTAATTCACCACTCTATCCCCCTTTTCTAGCATAAAAAGTAATTTTAAAAATCCACTGGTGTAATTTTAAAAAGGTATTTGTAACGTGCCTGATTCATCTCACCAGATAAAGGTTTGCAAGCCCAGTAAAATAAGCTCAACCTTTCCTGGATTACAGCAGTTATTTCATGCATGTTATGCTTCTCCCAAGACTACAGAATTTACTCACCAGGATAAAGAAAAAATACCAAAGCAGTGATGGAAATAACTTTGATCCACAATTTGAAGAAAAGCATTTTATCAAACCTGTGGAAAAAACTTTTAGGAATGTTTATAAGACACGATCAAATGGTAGTTTCTTATAGGTAGAGATGCCCCTCTGCCCACACATCTAATTAAGTTAAACTCTTCCCTTCATTCTTCTCCCAAACCTCAGAATAACACAGCATGTGAAGAGAAGGCCACTTGGAGGCATGAGAGAAACCCCAGGACAAGTCTTCTTTGTACATTTAAGAAGGAGATTTCTACTCTCGATGCTTGGCACAGCCTACAAGGAGGCTGGCTGCTTTTGAGGAAGCATCCACTGAGCATCTCAGCACTTTCTAAAAAAGCTAGAAAGAATTATTCTTTCTAGGATCTAGAAAAGGATCTAGAGAAGTCCTTACAACAATGCTAGACTCCATGACACCTCTGCAGAATGCCCACCTCACCTGCCTGAAGTAAAGAAGTCAATGGAGAGAGCCCAGCAGTTCTGGTACTGTACCTATTTTGTTTGCCTCTCCTCGGCAGGACTGAGTAGCCTTTTCTACTGATCGGTAAGTGGGGAGCTTGATAGAGTAAGACAAATAGTCCATGGCAGATAGCACACACAGGTATTGTCCCTCCCACCCTCTGATGGAGGTATGCAGGAGCTCCTAAGAACAGCCCCAGCAAACCGTCTCTCAGCAGGAGATTTGGGGCAATTTGATCAGATATTTCAAAAGCATAGAGAAAGGGGTGATAGTAATGTGTACACAGGGATCCAAGATGAAGAAACGTGAAAACTTTTCAAGCTACTGAACTGGAAAGAGCAAGAGAACAAAAAAAAAATAGAAGAATGAGTTTAGAGAATTATACAATGCACATGCCTAATTCCTTGGAACTCTACCAGAAACACAGTTGGAAATTTTATTTTTATGCCTTTAACTTTGAGGTAAATATAGACTGCATAAAATTTTAAGTACTAATGCAGAGATATCTTCTATTTTCTTTAACCCATTTACCCAATGAGACTATCTGTAAACCTGCAGTGCAATTTCACAACCAGAAAGAAACATTGGCTGGGGAACTACTATCAATGTTCAGTTAGACTACCAAGATAGTGAATGAGTTGTTTGGACAGAAATCTGGGAGCTGGTGCACCCAAAAAGCCCTCAAGAGTCTCAGGACAACCATCATTGAAGGACCTTGGCTAGAGGGCTGGAGACAGGATGGGGAAAGATGGCACAGGGGGCAAAGCAAGCTAAGGAAAGAAATTGAGACCACACTGAACACTGACCTAAATTGTATTGTATATAATTTGATCTGTACTCTAGATTTTAATGAGAAACAATGCAGGATTTGAAGTATGGAGAAATTCATTGGAATTATTTAACTAAACATTTTCAGAGTCTGCTTTCTGGAGTTATGACAGTTGAAAGCCCACATTTCAAATCCCACCTACTACAGAGTAAACTTTACACCATATTCAAACTTTATGATCCTCAATATCCTTATTTTAGTTGTGAGTAACGTAGCAGAACTTTTATCTCACAGTTTTGTCATAAATATTGGATAGAGTGTTGAAACAGTCTACATTTAAGTTGTGTACCACAGCTAAATATATCGATGTAATCTAACTTGCCTTCTTAGTGAATAATTTTATGATTTAAGAAACAATTTATGAGTGTAGCAATGTTCCATGAAAATTTAACGCACATGACATTTGAGGGAAAATTAAAATAAAAGCTAGACTTGAAGTTGTTGTGAAGTCTTTTATCTCACATATGTCTCCTCTTTTTTTAGTACATATTCTTCAGTAGAAATCAAGAACAAAAAAGACCACCATAATTCACATAGGCCATATATCTTCTTTTATACGTATATACATTTTAAAATTTGGTTTTTAACTGATATAGTAAAACATAAAAATTGTGCATATTAATGATATAATGTGATGCTTAAAATGTGTATATATTGTGAATAATTAAATCAGGTTAAAGATATCTTCAAATATTTATTATTCTTTTTATGGAGAAACACAAAAAGTTTATTTCTGTTTACACATTTTTCCAGTTTTTTAGAGAACATATATTATAGTTTTGTAATTAAAAAATTGGACAGTGTTTTCAGAATGTGCACTAAAATACAGGGTCAACCACGGTGAATTTTCATTTCTGAACTCCGGAGGCCTCCGCGTGTTCATCGCCTAAGCGCTCGATGGCGTCGCCATGCTGCAGCCAGCACCGGGCGGCAGCGGGTTGGACTCAGCGGTCCCTCTCCGAGAAACAGTGCCATATTTATTATTCTTTATGGTGAAATATTTCAAGATAATTCTATCTTTGTGCTGTATATACTATAGAATTATTATTTTATAGTCATTGTATGACCAATAACGCACCACACTGTCTTACTCCTAACACGGTACCTGTTGATCATCCTCTGCATTCTAATTTTTGATTAAACACATTGATGGCTGTACATATTTATGGGGTACAGTGTCACATTTTAATGCATATATACAAAGTGTAATGATCAGATTAGAGAAATTGGCATATCTATTACCTCAAACATTCATCATTCATGTTGACAAAATGCAAAAATCCTCTCTACTAGCAACTGCCAACCAGAGTCACTTCCTGTGCTGTAGAACCTCCTACCCACCTGCACCCCTGTTACTCATTAGCCGTCAGCTCTTTAGTCCCCCATCCCGTCGTCACGCACTTCCCCAGTGCCGATAGACCCATTCTCTGCATCGTGTGAGATCGATTTTATCCTGAGTCACGGGGCTGGGTCAGCCAAACTGCACAGCGTGGACGTTCAGCTGCTTCATGGGAGCTTAGGCGAGTGGGCAGTAGACCGAGTCGGGGAAGGTAAAATGTCTGCTTTATTTTTCCAAGCGATGCATCAGCGTGGTTACACATCAGCTTCCCAGACCAAGCTTCAGGCCCGTGAGGCTTCCCCAGCAGAAAGTGCTGCCGGTGTCTTTGGCACGAATGCAGTATCTTTGGGGCCTCCTGCTTGTGTAATGTCCCTCTTAGATCAGGGTTGATCTCAGAGGACTGGAGGGGGTGGATGCAATGTGCGAAGCACCATTTGTGAGGTCATCCTGCATCTCCCTACTCTGCACTGTCTCTGCCTCCTTCAAACTGCTCTCTGGTGCTCCGTGTTTTCCTTTATTTGGTTCTTTATTGCAAAGGAAAGCACGGCGTGTATCACTGACCATCTGCCTTGCGGATGCACCACAAGTGTCATAGACTTATTAAAGACTCTTTTTATGATCAAAAACAATAACAACCTCTGTTACAGAGACCATAATCTCACAGATAGGTAACCAGATACATTGGTGGGCAGGCAGAAATGTTAGGAAGTACAGTGATCATGCTGGTTATTTCTTGTTGCCAACATGACTGCATTGAGGAATGGATAGAGAGTTGGTAAAGCAAACATCTCAGTGTGTCTATGAGGGCATTTCCAGAGACGATTTCTGTATTCAAATTTAGCGTCTTACTATACAATTTAAGAAAGTTCTGAGGCAAAAGTGGTTTTTCTTTTATTTTTTGCTAAATAAAAAATAACTTTTTTCCCCTCATTGAGTTTATTGGTACATTTTAGGTATACAGTACAGTTACATTCATTATTGGGATCTTGTACCTTTATATGACAGGTCTTGGTTCTTGTTTTTCCCCCTGTCCCTGCCCTCCCTTAACTCCCTCCTCCCCTCCCCATTTACAAACACTTTGTTTCCATTTTTCATTTAAAATTAAGCCATCAATCACTGGAGTTATACAAGTTGAATCTTCAGTTCTAGACAAAGGTGTTCCTGGTGGTACTATCTTCAAAGTACAGATCTGTCATTAGAAAACTTGATAAAGGGCTGAGGTTATAGTCCAGCAGTGCCATGCCTGTCTCACAAGCACTGTCCTATCCCCAGTACTGAAAAAAAAAAGAGAAAGAAAGTAGGAAAGAAAGAAAGGAAGAAAGGAAGGAAGGAAGGAAGGAAGGAAGAAAACATAGTAAACAGTTCTTATAGTGTACATAAAGTGAACATCAAAGTACATCTGAAGCATGGCTTATAAAAGTCAGGACTCCCTTCTCAGAGTAGAGGAACTTTAAAATCTAACTTGAAATCACCTACATTCCACATAAGACATTTTTTAAAACCTGTTAACTAGGAGAGATTTGTGCCAGAAATCCTGGAGTAGAACTAACTTTTATCAAGAAGGCTCAACCTTTTAACTGTGGGGAGAAAAGTCATTTAGACAAGGAGTTACTCAGAGTTTAGTCCACACTGTAGTAACCAGGAGGGTAGGTTCAGATTGTTAAAAGCCTGGGCATTAGGCAGTGGAGTTGAGGTTTCTGAAGGTGGTCAGTTGAGCCATGAGTCTAGCATGTGATACTAAAAGTTCCTGTACTCATGACAGGTAGATGGGAGGGATTGCTTTGGAGAAGTGGATGAATCCTTTTATATTGAAGCTACTGGTTTGAGTTGACACTGAACATACAGGTAGCTGAGCCTGGTAATTCTCATGGGCTGTGAGAATGTCTGAAATTCCTGTAATGTTTCATTGCTTCTTCTGGGTAATATTTATATAGCTACATTGAATTTTGTGAAAATCCTTCAATCTATTAATGTTTGATTTATGCAATTTATTATACATGCTAAACATTAATAATATGCAAAAAATCCTGTAAGTAAAGAATGATAATATGGAGAAAACAATAGAATTTAGCAGGGCATTGAAGAATAGTACATAGCAAAAAAGTTAGCATTATTTTTAAAGTGAAAAGATGACAATTTATTATAAAGTACATCAGTAATATTTATCAGGAGAAGGAATATCATTATATAATTGTTATTAAAAATGAAATTAGTAAAAATTTAATCAGCATTGGAATGGCTTTTGTGATAAGAGCATTGTCAAAAACAGAAAAATGAGTTTTTAAAAAATTTAAGTTTCTGGTGGGTGCATATATTTATAGAATTTCTAGAAGTTCATCATAGTTATTGCTGTAAATGTAAAAGTGCTTTTATAATAAGAAGTTTTGTAATATTGGAAAATGGAACTCTGACTTTCAAGAGTATTTGGATTTTGGTTTATTTATGAAAGAAAAATATATAGCTATTACAAACAAGATTGTAAGAATATGTAATGACATGAAAATATGTCATTGTGTGAAAATATGTTTACACATTAGAGAATATTTCAATTTTTAATATGATCTATAATAAGAAAGAGTGCGTAAGTCTATGTAAAAACAATTATATATGTGTGTGTGTGTGTGTGTGTGTGTGTGTGTGTGTGAATAAACGTAACAACAGATACCAAATTAACAATGATGCTCACTGGTTCTTGGGATGATGTTTAATTTTTTATGTCTTTTGAATTTCTACCTCTTCACAATTACTGTTTTATTTTGTTTCCAGTGAGCACATGCCATCAGATTATATCAAAAGTACCATTGCTTCACTGGGTGTCTTTTATTGTTAGAGAAGCAGGGAGGCACTGGATATGAAGTCAGTCCTCATGAATAGGCACTAAGGTCAAGGCTATTTCTTTCTTAACCAACATTTTGTTTCATCTCTCTGGCTGCAGTCAAAAGGAATATGGCCACCCTTGGGACGAAGATGTCAGTGAAAGATCAGAGCCATCTTACTCCCACCTTGATGAGGCTGGTTACAACCATACCATAAGCTGCCTGCTTCTTTGCTGTCTTCCTGTGCTCACTGATGTACACTTTAGATATTTCAGTTAGATAAGGAGAATGGGAAGGCTAGAAAGCACACTTTATTTTAAATACAAGTCTAAGGTAACCATCACTTATTTAAAAGGTAGCATTTGAGTAGAGTGAAGAATCAGTCAAAGGCCCCAAGGCTAAAATGTGGACAGCATATTCTGGAACGGGAAGACTCCTATGGATGGAGGAGCGGGTGACAGGAAAGAGTGGAGGGTATGAGTTCAGAGTGACATCACAATACTCACCAGCTTCGATGAAACAGAGACGGCAAGGGACGATAGGCAACTGTGCAGATACTGGAAGACAGTGGGACAGCTTGAAGACACTGGAACAGCTTCAATTTTTACACTACAAATTATGAGGAATCAGTCAATGATTTGGACAAGAGGGTGATGTCTAAATAGCATTTCTCTAAAGACCATGCTAGGAGTAAATAAAGAGAGCAAATGTGATTTTCAGGAAAGCAGTTAGATTATGTTTGTTTCAATGTTTTAAGGAAGATAGATGTTCAAATGTTGAGAGTGTTGAAATAGATATTGGCTTCTTGGTATAGTCTGATAGAACTGCTGACAGGATTTGCTCTCTGATAAATGTACTACCTTAATTCTGAGAACACAGGTTTCTCAAGAGATGGATTGTCGCTGGCTTAAAAAGTTGGTGAGCAATAGAGATATAAAGCAATAGTGATAGAAAAGAAATGAAACACCAGCTGTAACTATAGGCATTGCTGTGCTGCCATGATTTAAGTGTAATTAAACAAGTAAAACTTGAACAATTGAACATTATTAGCAATGCAGTCAACATACTTGTAGACATCAATACTTTTTTCTATGTTCCACATAGAAAATAATACTTATTAAGTACACTGAAATAAAGAAAAGTGTTACCTCTCTCAGCCTGGAGAGTCCAGATGTTTCCATCACAAAGCCACCTGTGAAATCAGAAGAACAATATTTCACCAATATGCCATAATATGAAGGCTAATTATTTAATGTCTGCAGTTCTTACCCTTTCTAAGCAATAGAGCTCATCAGCAACAAAAGCCAATAGTGTCTACTGACAGCATTAGCTTTGGCTATGAGTTGATACAATAGGTGTGAGGCAGTCATTTTCTTTTTTCTTTTTTTCCTCATTGAACTTATTGTACATTTTAGGTATACAGTACAGTTACATTCATCACTGGGATTTTGTGCCTTTCCATGCCAGGTCTTCTTTCTCATTTTTTCCCCTTGTCCCTGCCCTCCCTTCACCAACTCTACCCTTCCCTATTTATAAAAACTTTATTTCCGTGTTTTCATTTTCTCACATTTTTTCTTTGCCCTTATTTCCTTTCCCCTACCCTTCCCACTTCCCTTACACCTTTAGCCCTTTTCTTCCTATTTCACAGAGCCAGTCATTTTCTATTGGATATTTCCTCCTCTAAATCCTTTTCCTCCAGACTCTCAAGATGATCATTGTTTCTAAGGTTATATGTTTAAAAGTTCATGATGACTCTTTAGTCACAGGAGGTCCCCAATTAATGGTGGCACATGAAAGGGGGCAACTCAGATTCTTTCCAGGCCCCTCTGGCTTCACACTTATGTCCATCTCTTATAATCACCAGGAAGGATCCATGTTAGGCTCCATCATCGGGCAAAGATCATGGGGACATGAACTTCCATGTCAAGTCACTTAGCATCTAAGGAATCATAAATATTAAAAGAAAGACAAATATTATAGCACTATAAACCAATGAAAACAATTACTGCAAAAACAGACATGAGTCGTAAGTAAATATGATTGTATAGTTTAAGGTCTTATATAGAGAGTTCTAGATAAAATAATCAGAACAAATTTTCTTTTAAGCACACAAAAAATATTTATAAAATTATGCCATGTTTCAGACCATGTTTCATGAAGCTTCAGTGGAGCATGCCTATGTCTTTAACCATTGATTTAAAATGAAGTATTATAATGTATAATTATAAAGATAACTAAATAATCCTTAGCCCTGCAATTTTATATTATCATAAATCACATTAATAACTATAGTAATGACTGTAATTATAGTAATTATTTTATCTATAAATGCTGAAAACTCTAGAGTTTTGTGGAGGCATCCACTCAAATCAGAAAATTATCCAGGAAAGAATAATGTACTTTCATCTTCTATAGGTTTATAATAGGACTCATTCCATACATCAAACTCTGGAAAACCCTAAATTTCCTAAAAGGAAAATCAACATAATGCAAGGCTTTTAGAACTGAGAACATTTTTTATTTAATTGATCATGTTGTGTAATTTCAAAGGATGTTGTCCTACACATGGCCTAATTTTGCCTCACTTCTTTTCATCACAATGATGACAATGACAAATAGACCCCAAGATGCAGTCATAATTTTAATCTGCTTACTAAATTTGTTACTTGAATAATTTATCTCTTCCAAAACAAACATTGTAGAATATTTAATGAAAGAATTATCTTATTGAATGGGTATCCATATTAATGTGACCATAGTCCACCTATGGATGGGAATCATCTTAACCCTTTTCACACCACCTGCTATCCTTACCATCCATTCAAAGACCCTGAAGTCAGCATTTTCCTAATTTGACTAATTAAGACTCATGGAGGTTACTAGTAAACACTCCATATTTAAAGTTTCTTTAAAGAAGGCCAGAGAATCATATCAAACATCTACTACTTCTCCTACCTCCTAGACTGTATCTTGCTATCTCTGGGTGCACAGTTGAGTTAGGAGACATTCAGCTAGATCTAATCATTAACGTTCTGGTACCAGTGGGTCAACACCTTGACATAGATAGCATTTCTTTAAATCACTAAGATAGTGTCATCATACTCTGTTTCTCTTATTATTACACAAATTCAGGAATTTCATGTTCACTAAAATGGAATCCACATTATGACTTAATCAGTGGAATTTTCACTTTATCGGTTGTTGTGATGAAACATGGGTTAAATACTAGGTGCAGAAAGATTATAGTGACTTAGGATACACTGGCACAGATTGTCACAGCTTACCATCTAAATTCCTTGGCTCTTCACTTATCTCATCAATCTTAGAAGCAGCAACATGTGTGATGTCAAGTAGAAAGGAATTCTGAAATATCTCCCACTAGCACTGAAATATTTGGCCCCTACCTTCACTGAGAGCTTGTTGGCCTGAGTTATTCATCTGGCTCCCTATAAGCACAATCTGGCCAGGACATTAAGTCCTCCACATGAGGATCTATTAGCATCCATCTGTAAGGAGTACCTCACTATGATCTTTGCTCAGAATCAGCCTGGCACTACCCTGAAGTTTGAAATTTGGAGATAGTAATCTTGCCAAAATAAATATGTATACCAAACTTTTCCCTTCCTAGGGGAAGATTCTAACTAATCTGGGTCATAGAGAGAAAAGATGACCTGATATTTCTGTTCATATTGCATTTTTAATGTTTACTGGTGAGTTATATGCTCAGAATAAAATTGACAGGCTTAGGGTTTCCTATGCTGTGGTGACTTCTCCTGAAATTTTGGAAGCCTATGTTTTACAAAGCATAAAATCTGAATAACAGATGAAGTAATAGCAGGTACTCGAGCTACAATTCTTGGTTCTCTGCATAGAGTGAATAGGTATACAGATGATGTATATGTTTGAATCTGTTATCAATAGGGAAAACTTGAAAATATAGAGGACTTTTTACTTTAATAGGAACTGAACGATCACATGGAAAATTTGAGCTGACTTGTTAGAGGTTTTAACATTACTTGCTCATAAACCAGTAAGTCATTGGATTACACAAGAAAGAATGACATAAATACTAAAAACAATGATTTTTAAAAATTTTATGTGTTGCTATATGTTTGAAGTACATAATAATTACATTCATCATGGGGAGTTGGTACATATACATAGCACATCTTAATTCTTTTTACATCTCCTTCCTTTCTATACTTTGTATAGCTATACTTTGTTCTTCTGTTGTAGCTATTATTTTGGGCCAGGGTAACATTGTGTTCTAGCAAGGCAAAGGACACTGAGAAAGTTTGTAGATTTCAATATTTATATGAGATTATCCAGAAATCCAATTTCCTGAAGCTAAATTTTTGTCAAAAATTTGATGTCAGGGATGATCATGTGTTAGTTTTAAATTTTTATAATAATGAAGTCAATGGCCCAGAGAATTTTGACAAATAAGATATAACAGTCTATTAGTAAGCTTTCCCATGGCTTGGGCACAATACCTGATGATCACAGTCTAGAAAAGGAGAGTTTTAATAAATCTTTAGACTATTTCAGGAGATTCAGTTCATAGTCAGCTCCAAGGTTAAAATACCATGCATATGGGGCCGGGGATTTAGCTCAGTGGTTCGGTGGCCTGCCTTGCAAGCACAAGGACCCGAGTTCAATCCCTGGTACCAAAATAAAATACCATGCATAAATAAGTGGCAGGGAAAAGTTGCTTAATTCATGGTAGCTGGGAAGCAGGGGAACAGTGGCAGAGAGGATAGAGTCAGAGACCATATACAGTACCAACCATCATGCCTCCCTGACCACCCAGACACACCTAGAAGTGCATGTTATCAGTTCCCTGGGCAGTTCCTAAGCCAATCAAATTGATAAAATTAAGCTTAACCAACATACACAATAAACACAGTACAGTTGAATGGCTTCAGCCTAAACACTTTCACTCTCTTGAGAAAACATGAAAGTAGTTTATTGTACCACTGTGAAGCTCCAGAAGAATATTGAGTCCCCTGACTCATCACAGACTCATGAAACAAAATAGATGTCTTGGTATACATCTGCTTCTTCTATGTTTCTTTGAAAATCATGCCTTTATTTTTTGTACTCAAATATGTAACCTGGACTGGAATCATGTGTGACAAATTATGCTTGATGCTACTATGTAAGACATCACTATGTAAAAAAAACTCAAAAGACGCATGTTGCAGAATTTAGTTCATTGTTTATTATCTGGGATATTATGTTGTCTTCTGATTTTTACAGCTTGGGGTAGTAACATTAGAGATATTTCAGTGAATTGCACTAAGGCCTGTGGCCCTCTCTGTGCAGTAAATGTCACTACACTTAAATTTGTATAATTTTTGCCTTGCTGTTAGGAAAGGAGGAATAATGATACATTTAATCTTGCTGAGTATTAAATTGAGAGGCTCAAAATTCTAACAAGTAAAATAAAATGTTGTGTTTCCAAGTTTTAGCTATTACAAATTGTGCTGCTATAAACATAGGTGTGCATGTATCACTGTGGTATGATTCTTTTAATTCTTTTGGAAAGATACCCACCAGAGGAATGACTGGGTCAAATGGAACCTCTAATCCTAGTTCTTTGAGGTATCTTCATATTGATTTCCACAGTGGTTGCACCAGTCTGCACTCCTACCAACAATGGAGACAGTTCCTTTCTCCCCATAACACCGCCAACATTTGTTATTGATGGATTTCTTGATAGCAGTCATTCTTTCTGGGTGAAGTGGTATCTCAGTACTGTTTTCATCTCCATCTCTCAAATGATGAATGATGTTGAACATTTCTTCATATATTCATTTGCTGCTTTTACTTCTTTGTCTGAGAAATGTTTGTTCATTTCAGATGCCCACTTTTGAATCAGGGCTGTATATTTGGGGGAGCCAGATTTTTTGAGTTCTTTATATATTCTAAATAATAGTCCTTCGCATGTGATTTGTTTCTTTTCTCTAACTGCTTTCAGTATTTTGTTCTTCTGTTGGGTTTCTGGGATCTTGACTATTACATGTCTAGGTGTATTTTTTTTTTTTATCATGGCTACTTGGAGTCCTATATGCCTCACTTATCTGTATGTCAAATTCTTCCCCTCTGTTTGGGAAGTTTTCTGTCATTAATTCTGTGAACAGTTTTTTTTAAGTCATTTGTAATGGCTTGTGCTACTTCATGGATTCCTAT